TTTTTTTGACAAGTATAAAGACAGCTTGAGTCTTCAAAATGTTTTTGAGACAACGCTTCAATCAAGTCATTATGCCTGGTATTTTTCATTTCTTTAAAAAATCGAGTGATCATGAAGTCGCTAAATCCGTACTTAGAGTTGACGTTGACCCTCAAAAGGAAAAGCCTTTTGAAGGAGAACAATCCGATGAAATACCCGTAGAAGAACTTCCTGGTGTACAAAAAGCTCAAGCTACCACCATTATGTGGAGTAGGACTGTCCTTTATTTTATATATGCTTGGATTTGGGTCTGCTTTTTCATGTTGGCATTCCAATCTGCTATTGGTAATAATATTATTTATTATGCTTATAGCGAATTTGAGGCTGCTCCAGCAGTAAGTACAGCCAACATTTTGGCCTCGATTATTGGAGGTGTTCTTAAATTGCCGATTGCAAAAATTTTGACTATATGGGGTCGTACAGAAGGGTTTTTGGTCTTTATAGGTGTCTACTTACTTGGTATTATTATTCTTGCAGCTTGTAATGGTCCAAGCAGTTACGCGGCAGGATACGTTTTGTATTGGATTGGATACGATGCCATCTATTTTATATTGGATGTGTTTATTGCTGATACTTCTGGTCTTAGAAATCGAGCTTTCAGTTTTGCCTTTGCTAGTACGCCTTTTATTTGTACGGCTTTCACAGGTCCACTTGCTGCTCAATCATTTCTTAAGATAACATCTTGGAGATGGGCTTATGGTACTTTTGCTATCATAATGCCATTTATATTTCTTCCGCTTGCCTTTGTTTTCAAGTATTACCAAATAAAGGCTGATAAGGCGGGCCTTATCAAGAAAGGAGCTAGTGGTAGAACGGCTATACAGTCTATCATTCACTATATCCACCAGTTCGATATTATTGGTGCTCTCCTCTTGATGGCTGCATTTGTAATATTCTTACTACCATTCAGTTTAGAAACTTATGGAAGAGCCCAGTATAGCAGTGCTACTTTTATTTCTATGGTTGTAATTGGCTTCCTTCTTTTCCCAGCGTTTGGTCTTTGGGAAAAATACGGAGCTCGTAAACATTTCATTGAATGGGAACTTTTAACAGAACGTACTGTTTTAGGAGCATGCTGTCTTGCGGCTATACTTTACTTTAGTTTCTACTGTTGGGATCTTTACTTTTACTACTTTGTAATGGTTGTTTATAACTTGGAAATTTCTATGACAGGCTACATGTCCCAAATTTATAATGTGGGTTCTTGTTTCTGGGGGGTCATCTTCGGTTTGTGGGTTCGCTATATCAAGACTTTCAAGTATACCTGTCTCTTTTTTGCTCTTCCCCTCATGATACTTGGGGCTGGGCTTATGATACGCTTCCGCGGGCAAGATGGAAATATTGGATACATTGTCATGTGTCAAATATTTATTGCATTTGCGGGAGGTAGTTTGGTAATTGGTGAAGACATGGCCGTTATGTGTGTAGCTGATGTTGGTGGAGTTCCAATGATGCTTGCACTTATTGGACTTTTCTCAAGTCTTGGCGGTTCTATCGGGTATGCAGTTGCTGCTGCTATATACTCTAACACCTTCCCAAGTGCACTCTATAATGCCTTACCCGATAATGCTAAGTCAAACGCCACAAGTATTTACCTCGGGGGGTATCTGACTCAAATGACTTATCCTGTGGGAAGCGAAACCAGAGATGCTATCAATTATGCATGGGGATACAGTCAAAAGTTTGGTGCAATTGCAGCTACATGTATATTGGTTTTAGCCATTCCATCCATTGCTGTTTGGAAGAACTATAGAGTGGATAAGAAGGGCAATAAGGGTACTGTCTTTTAAAATTCGAGTGAGTTGTACTTGATGAGCTGATCTCACTGAGATTTTGCGTGCACAAGTATACATTATAAGGAAGTCAACATTGGATAAGTTTTCATTAAGTTGAGGACACGGGTATTATTTCTATGCATATTACTAACACGAAACAATTGAATGAACTAAACTTTCGTTATGATTAAACTACCGGTGGTTAAATTATATAAAGTGTGAGATACTAAATATATAATACATCTGTATATGTATATAACAGAGTACATATTCAAACCTAATATATAGCAAAGGCTTTGTCTTTAAACCGTTCACTGAAGGAATAGCACAAATTGTGTTTCAAAAAATTTCAATGTAGGAAACAGTTGTAAATAAAACCATCTGCTCCTAGTAATGACATTCTACGGTTAGACTCTAATCAGATGCATAGTAATCTATCCAACGGTGGAGATCTAAAATCTATATCCTGCATGCATCTCGCTTTCTGACACGCATGATAAATGTAATCTAGCATAAGAACCACATAAAATAAAATATCTTAATTATCTTTCTCTGGGGCGAATTTTATCGAAGTATTTATTTACAGCAATCTGTTCATTCTCGTACTTTGCTAAGTTTACGACTTTGAGGAATTTCTTCTGTAATTGATTAATGACCTTTTTGAATGAATCAGGCACGCGGGCCATTGCATAAAGTTCTTCCATTCTATTGATAAAAATCCTGCTATTAATAATTTTAGAGAAACATCATATCGTATAATTTCAGGATCACTAATAAAAGAATAGTTTTATTTTTTGTATTTATTATTCTATAATTTTATGCGTTAAGACCACATGGAGCAATATTATGGATGATATTCTCTATTAACCAATATGTAATTCACTCATAATGTTGCACACAAATTATCAGAAGAATAAAAGCTACCTTCCTATACTCAGAAAATTTTCATATCGCTTTCTAGTGTTGTCGTCAAGTTTTCCATGCTTTGTGCTAGTTTATAGTTTTTTTATAACTATCTACCCCAAACACTGCATACATATATAAAGAAATTGATCTTGATTATTTTTTCCTATTCGAAGAAGATCTTATAATTAGTAGGTTGCCAAAATTGAGGCACAATCCACTATGTCTTCGCTAATATTTTTAATAATGAAAGCCACTTCTTCAACAGTTAAACTTCGGATAAAAAAGCTTTTAATTTATAACCTTTTCGAATATGATAGCAGAGTACAATATGTAATCAATGCTCGATTCTGAAGCAAATTAGCAACCAGAGAAAGGCTTTATCTAAATGCTGCAAACGTCGAGTTAGTTGTATAGAGAAGAATAACTATATTCCTTTGTCTCAATTAAGATTGAAACCTGGTACCTATATAAACTGATTTCTTTAGATCATAAATGCCCCATTTCGCTAGGAGAATTCATTGGAGGTTCAGCATCTCAAAAAATTTAGTATTTTGCTAACTGCCTTTTTAAACCAGTGCAAGATATAATGTTTAATTTACGATAATGGATATAATTCTGATGTCTTGCGTGATATTGCTAATTTACCTTCCGGTAAAATTCATTATGAAGTTCGGCTTATTACGATTCATCCTCACTCATTGAATAGATGTTACCCTGCTTTTTATTGATTGAATCGCGAACCAATATGTTGATGCAACTTTCGGCAAGAGTTGATGACGTCATGTTATACCATTTAGGTAGGAGCATTTTGTACATCATTAGATCTTGTAAGCATGATACCGAAG